ATGTTCTAGATGAACTGTCATGACCCATTTAGGCACTCAGCAATCGATTATTTTTTATTTATTTTTGACAGATCATTTATAACTACCAATTAATAGAAATTGTTAGTATAGTCATTAAATAGTACTATAATCTTATTTTAAGGCATGAAGTCATTAGTACAAAGTTTGGGTGTACCAAAAAAAAAGAAAGTGCTCCTTTATTTAATTCTTCACCTTCTCAACATCACCCATCTTTTAATTCTTCACCTTCTCAACATCACCCATCTTTTTAACTACTTCATTAAACGACAGCTTGTCCTTTTAATTTGGTGGTGATGGACTTTGCCAGCATCTTCTTTATGACTTATGACTTATACTTTAAAACGCTCTTCTTTTCAATTGACCAATCGATCAACTCCTTTGTTTGCAAGGTTCATGGAAACTTAAGAAGCTCTACTTGAAATCTAAAATATCTATGATGCTGGTCACGATTAAAAGGATGCCTCCTTTACTCTTACCTATGAAATGGATTCTCACGGCTGTCTATTAACCCATAACCACTCTTCTCATGATCCTTTAAGGATTCTAACTTTACTGTCCATCGGGTCAATTATATAATTTATCTCAACATGTTTTTATTACCAATTTCAAACATCTCTTTATTAAAAAGTAACCTTTTCATACCCTCATGCATGAGAATATCATGTTTTATAATTTACTTGAACCATGATTATTTAACAGCACAACTATTTTCTTGTACTATTATTTTACCGGTCCTCGATCATTTTTATTATAAATTGTTATATATAGAAAAATAATATTATATAGATAATTCTTCAATTAAGCAAGTTCACGTGAAAGATTGGAAATGTCACGTCGATCTTGCTTAAAATTCAATCTTCTAGATGAAACCTTTTCGGCTATATCTATCTATTGTACAGTCTTTCTATATATATATTCATTTGCTAGTTTTGTTGTTATTTTTTTTTACGAGTGATCTAGAATATCTTGATTATATAACCAATTTCCCAACATTTGACAAGATTACTGGTGTTTAGATTCGTCAAGATTGATCTTCATCAATTTTCACTTTACATTTCTAATTGTTCACATGATTGAGCATCCAAAATATTTTAATCTTGCCTTCCATTAAGGTAATTAAAATCTCTCTACTTGACGATTCAACACATGTAATTGGATAAATATGTGTGACTTTTTCTTAGTTGGCAGGAGAATACTATTACCAGCACACTTGCATGGAGAGTAAATTCCAACCTCTAATAACTAACTTGACAGGAAAATGAGTGTTGGAAGAGTGAATGAGAAAATTAAATTGATGGATTGATTGGGACCTAAATTATCAATATTTGAGTTGTTAGAAATTGGATTTCATTGTTTTATAGATAAGATGTTTTTTATATTAGTGACTCAGGTCATAAGTTTGAAAAGTTAATACGGACTAATATATTTTTTTGCACCCATTTTTTTTCTTTGATTTCATTATTTGATGTTTTTTATTTTGAAAAAGAAGCTTCATGATTTTTCTTAATTTCTTTTTAATTATATTATCTCAATTTCATGGTTTTGCCCGCTAATATGAGTGTTTTTTATCACTTATTTTATATTTTTTTAGGTTTTTTCCTAAAAAAATAGGTTTTTAAAAAGATTAAAATTTTTAATTTTATTTTCTATAAAATTATTCTTTCGCACTATCCAACTTGCGAAGTTTGGTAATCTTACTCAATTTTGTAAGTGTTTTAGTTTTTTAGATTTTTTTATTAATTTTTTAAAATTTTATTATATATATTTTAAATTGTTGAGAGTTAACTATCATTTTTTTTTTAATTTACATTCTGTATAAGGTTGACTTCACATCACAACTTGAGTTGCAGCTTACTATGCTAAGGTCAACTCAAAGCATTTTAATATACATCAGTAACATCTGAACATCATTTTCTATATATGGAAAAAATTAACTTGATGCTTACCACCAATCTAGAAAGAACTAATTAAGAGCTCTAGACCCTGAACTGGATGAAAAATAAACCTCCACTGTCCAAGATATATACATGCAATAAGGCCATAAAAATGAAAAGGCGAGAAGCATTGTGCTAGAACAGTAAAAGTTCCCATTCCTTCAAAACCAAAATCTCACATTTAAATTCTTGATATCTTTAAGTCAATAACTTTAGTTTGTTTTTTTCCCTTATAACTTTGAATCCATAAAGGACAATAAAAGAAAAAAAAATAAAAACCAACGATGGCTCATTAGCTATGTCAATGAATATGATACATTTCCATGATACATTCCTTGAGTGGGGTGGCGGAGCAAAAAAAAACTTCAAAAATAAATTATAAATACTTGATATTATATATTATATAGATATGTGTTATATACAAAGAAATTAATTTAAAATTCATGTATTAACTCATACTAAGCAGAATTAATTAAAAAATATTTTTAAAATGAAAAAAACTTACATTGTAATCAATTTTTTCAAGTTTTCATATTTTAAAATTACTTAACAATGAATTCATTATTAATTTCATTAAAATAATTTTTTTTAATATATACAATAAATCTTTTGTTCATCTATTTCTAAATCTTCTAGGGACTAGTAAAATTATTGGCAACAATTTTTTGTTAATTTGTTGTTTTACATAAGTGATAAATATAAATATTAATATATTTTTCTAATTTTTTTATTGTATCTCATATTTTTTTAGTTATTCAATACTTTATTTTTAATTACTAGTACACTGATTACCATTATTTTTCATATAAAATTTATAATAAAATACTTATTAATTCATCAAAACTCATTTCAATTCATATCCATTGGCATAGTACTTCATTTTTAATCACTAATACGTTGATTACTGTCATTTTTCATATGAAATATATAACAAAATACATATTAATCCATCAAAACTTATTTCAATTCATATTCATATTCATATAATATTATACATACATATATTAATTTAAAAAATCCATAAATTATTATATTACTAAAAAATAAAATTAAAACTAAACAATGAAATAAATAAAAAAAAATAAAAGAAACTCACCTAAAACATTAAGCATAGAGTATAAAAGATTACTTACTTAACTAATTAATGGTTTAGAACTTGAAAAACAATTATAGAAGAAAAAAAGGTAGGAATAATAATTCAAAAAAAAAGAGAAAAATTTATTAAATTATTATATTAAATTTTTAATATAAAAATATTTTTTTAAAAAAATTTAGGAGATAATTACCCTTTTAATCTCCATTATGGCTTCGCCATTGCTCGAGTATCATTATTAAATTTGCAATTCACTTAAGGTGGGAGGGGTTTCCCTAGAATGAGAATAAGAGAGTATTAAAATTTGATTTGTTTTTGTATTTTAAAAATATTTTTTTAAAAAATAAAATTTATTTTTTTAATTATTTTTATATATTTTAAAAATAAAAAATTTATTTTTTTATTTTTTTAATTATTTTAAAAATAAAATTTTTTAAAAAATAACTATTATTGACAACTATTTATTGCATTTAGTGTATCTAAGCCACAATATCAACCAGCAGCCCTGCATTTATTTTGTAGATAATATTTGGTAATGTAGTACAAATTATTTTATTTTTTTGTAAAAAATTAAATTTTTTTATATGTTTTGAATTGTTTTAATGTATTAATTTTAATATTAATAAAATTCTTTAAAAAACAACCACAAGAAAACAGGATGCAAAAACATGGAAAACGTAATATATAACACGTAGCGATCTAGAATATATGCTGACTGCACCACAGCATCCCCCCCCTCCCTCTCTTTTGGGTGTCTTTGGACAAGAAGGCCAGGCTCCACATTATCATTCTCTAGTAATGTGGTCTTTAACTGATCAAAGAACATGGAATGATCTATGTTTGGGAAGCTCATTTCCTAAAATAGCTCTCATCTCCACTGTTTGAGGATGAATTCTTAGATCTATGTTTCTACTTCGTTCTTGAACAATCTTACAAACAACATAGTATTTGCCACCAGCTTTTTTTTTTTAGTATCAGAAATGGATATAGTATTTGCCACCAGCTTTTTTTTTTTTTTAGCATCAGAAATGGCAAATTTTCATATAAACACAACCTCAGAGCTCATTCAATGCGCGCTGAATGCACCGGCACCGATTCCACACATAAACTGTGGTCTTCCGGTTTCCTACCAATGATAGTAATGGATTAAAGGCACAATCTTCTTTTTTTTTTAATTAATGTGGATGATTATCAGGCTATCTTGTATATATTTTAATTAATTTTATAAATTTTAAAATTAATGATTATATAAATTTTTAATAATTTTGAAGTTTGTAAAATTTAAAATAAATTTAAAATTTGATAAGTTAAATTATATTTTTTTAATTATTAAACAAACAATCTTAAATATACACCCTTCAAGCAAGAAATTTTCTTCAATGAATTCGATGAACTTTCTAAGAACCCAAATTGAATACATGCAAATATATCTATATCTTTAACTTTGCAAAGTTTTCACTGGAAAAAGAAAAAAATATCAGTGATGATCCTTAAAGTCGTATCAAAATAATCAGTTTACATGATATCACTAACCCTTTTTGTGCTTGTTATTGCAATAAATTGTTATTTAAAATATTTTTTTGTTTAAAATAATATATTTTTTTTATTTTTTAAAATTTCTTTTTCACAAACAAAACAAACACATTTTAACGAGTGTTCATCTTTAAACCACTATAGTCGAGGGAAAACGGATTCCACACCGCGCTTAAAAAACCAAACGGAAGATTTTTTTGTATGACAACCCATTTTTCGAAATTTTAAATGAATAGATAATTAAAGAGTGGTCCTCCAGGTTGTTAATTTTAGTTATATTGTAAAGCTACAAGTTCCTTTGATGTCCAGATCTTTTATGGAGGGGTTAGAACGATCAAAATGAAAATCTTGAGTGACCAAGTAATGTCATTGTGTTTTTTTTTTTTTTAATTTTTAAAAGAGGATCCGCGAAATAAAATCAAAATAAAAGAAAAGGAGAAAGGTAATTCGATTTTAGTCAAGAGGTTGTCGAAGTATTCAGAGAAGGAGAGAAAGGAAGGGATGGATCTGTGAAGCTCAAATGAAGAATGCGTATTTCTCTATCTCTCTCTCTGTTACAGGCACAGCACAAGTAGTATAATCATCCATCAGTAGTCAGATCTGTTGATAAAACAGATCAGATCGGATCTTACAAGAATCAGAAGGAAGGAAGAAATAATGCTGCGATTAAGAGCATTCAGACCCAGCAATGATAAGATCGTAAAGATTCAATTGCATCCTACGCATCCATGGCTTGTCACTGCCGATGCCTCCGATCGCGTCTCCGTTTGGAATTGGGAACACCGCCAGGTTATCTACGAACTCAAAGCCGGCGGTGTCGACGAGAGACGTTTAGTCGGCGCCAAGTTGGAGAAGCTTGCTGAGGGTGAATCTGGTACTGCTTCCCAAGTCCTAACCTAACCTAACCTTTCTCCCTCCAACTGCTGCTGCTGCTGGTTTTATTTTTTCAATTCGTTTCATTTTCTCTTTTTTGTTATTTTTTTTCAGAGCCGAGAGGGAAGTCTACCGAAGCCATGCGTGGAGGGAGGTAATTAATGGATTTGATTACTTGTTTCAATTCAATCAGTTTTGATTTATTTTTTGTAAGTGTATGGTATGATAACTAGAACAAAACCAAAAAAAAAAAAACATAAAGTGTGCAGCAGGTTAACTTTTATGATGATGATGTCCGGTTTTGGCAACTCTGGCGTAATCGGTCAGCCGCTGCGGAGGCTCCTTCCGCCGTCAGCAATGTAACTTCAGCATTTGCTTCTCCAGCTCCATCCACTAAAGGGAGACACTTCCTTGTCATCTGTTGTGTAAACAAAGCCATCTTTCTGGACTTGGTCACCATGCGTGGTCGTGATGTGCCTAAACAAGAACTTGACAACAAGTCACTTATCTGGTAAGTCTTACCACAATTTCACCAACCTCCTTTTTTTGCTGCATTAATCAATGGGGGTTTCTTTCTTTCACCCTGTCATGTTCAATTTCACTTATGAAAATAAATATCTGGAATTAAACTACTGTTAGTTATGTTATCAACTAGCATTTTCTGCTTTTGTATGCCAATGTTTCATGTAGACAGATAGTAAAATTTACGGGCAGCAGTTTGGTCTTTGATCAGACTTATTGTAATGATATTAAGATAACATTGTATCAAACCAAAATTCCAAATAAACAAGCAGAATCACTTTTTATAGATTTCCTTTTAAGCTACGACAGGGGGCTCGAGCTCATTTTATAGGGTGAGAGGGGCTATTTTGGTGATTGGAAGGATTTTGAGAAAGAGGAGTTACCTCTCTTTGTATCTTAGATTGACTAGCTTTCTTCTTTTATTATACGGGAAACAATTTTTTTTTCATGTTTCTCTTGTTGTATCTTTTGTAACCTTTCCTATCTTGCAATTGAAAGTCTTGATATTGCACCTGGGATTGCGTGATGCATTCCTTTGGTGCTCTGCAGTATAGGTTTTGCATATCTGAGGTCTTGTAGGATCAATGGTTTTTTCCTACATATGATTACCAACTACCTACATGGACCTGCTAGTTCCTGTAAGCTTATCATGTTTACGGTGCAATGAACTTTTTTTTATTGTCCTCTTCTGCAGCATGGAGTTTCTCTGCAGATCTACTGCTGGTGATGGTCCTCCACTAGTTGCATTTGGTGGATCTGATGGTGTCATCAGAGTTCTTTCAATGATATCATGGAAGGTTTGTGGGTGGCTTAGTTGTTGGGCCATTGTATGCAATTACTTACCTCTTGTTGTTTGGTAACAGTTGTTACTTGCAGCTTGTACGCAGATACACTGGAGGTCATAAAGGATCCATTTCTTGTTTGATGACCTTCATGGCTTCCTCTGGTGAGGTAGTTCTTTATTACCCTTTGCTAAATTTGTCTTGCTTAATATTTTCCGTCATCCAGAGTTACTGTTAAGACTTCTTATTGGTATTTTTGCATTGAAGGATGCCTTCTCCCTATAATCGTTTTCTGTCGTGTTTGTTGCATATACATAATATATGCTGCTGTGATTTGTGTTACACCTTGGATCCTTGCTCCTCGGTGCTAATAGTGTGCTGTTGCCTTTTATCAACACCGGACACTCAATGGGTACGGATGTAAATATGCATCTGGCTATGGAAAGTGAAACTAAAAGATAATAAGAGAGTGGGAGGGGTGCTAATCTTTTGCTCATTTTTTCATCATAGGACTGGGCACCATCAGTCATGACATGGATGTTAGTTTTGTTAAAACTTTAAAAGACTGCATATATTTTAGAAACATGTGAGTTTTATGACTTTTGGTGGCATACTTCATTATGGATCTTTAAGAGCAGGAGCATCATTGTTATTGCATATAACATGAGATTTGAGTATGAGTAAGTATGAGTTAATGAAGATTTGAGTATGAGTAAGTATGAGTTAATATTGGAAATTTTTGGAGTATTACAGTTTCAAGAGAAGGTTTGATGGGACTCAAATAGTCATTGTTCCCTACTTTATGTAATGTGCTTCATAACAGGAAGGCATATAGTCCTTTCTAGACTGTCTAGTGGCCTTGGATATGTGGAGTGGACCCTCGGTTTTGGTGTTGAGAGTTGCGGCAATCCGGAGTTCAATGGAGGTATTCCTATCTACCCACTCATCGGGGTTTGAAAGAGGAAAGGTTTGCAAGAATAAATCCTGGTGTGCTATCAATGTTGCGAATTGGGTTGAAAGAGGAAAGGTTTGCAAGAATAAATGCTGGTGTGCTATCAATGTTGCGAAATCTTTGGATGGAATAAAGAGTACAGAACTTGAAAGGATCATTTTTTCAAAGAAATTGTTAATGGATAAATTGTTTTTTTGTACCCTTTATGGTGCACCTCTTAATGGGCTTTTGAGGGGTTCCTTTACCTGACATTCAATGGGGACTGTAAAGCCTTGTTGTTCTGAATATCTGTTTTTTCTTTTTATTATTATTTCTTCTCTCTTGGAGGACACTTTGTTCTCCATTATGTAAACTCCCCCCCCCTCGCCTTCTTACTCCACCCTGTGTAAGAAAACATTCACATGCATGCCTTCCACACTCTCTTTCTTGCACGCCCCCGCTCAGTTAATATCTATGCATTTTAGAGAATACATGTAATGACCTATGTGAATGAACTTGCATGTGCTATATATGATATATGTCATGTAACTCATATTTGTTTACAATTGCTACGCTATTGATTGCAGGCTCTTCTTGTTTCGGGTGGTAGTGATGGTTTACTTGTACTCTGGAGTGCAGACCATGGTCAAGATTCACGAGAACTTGTACCCAAGCTAAGCTTAAAAGTAGCGTTCTTACTTTTCTTTCATCATGTGTCATGCTGCTCCCCTTTCTACATCACACAACTAAAAAAGCAATTTAAACCTTGATTTGGATGTTCACGTGCATACTTAGCTATGCCAAGAATTTATGATACCTGGTATTAAAGAGGCAAGATTTCCAACTTTGCAGCTTAAATAAAGAAAAATGCCACACCTATTTGAGTACCTTGTTTGTCCAAGAAATAATGCAAATATGTCAAACATGGCTGTTATTAGTTTCTTTTGGCATTTTGAGTTGTTGTAAACTTTATGCTCAAAGTTTTATATTCCAAGTCATTTTCTTTATACATGATTTCTAAGCATGTGCACATTTAATCTTGTTCCAACCTATTCATAATGTACAGGTCCTGCTTCTTTGAACTAGTGCAACTGAAGTAGGTTTTAATGCTTTAATTTACCTTATTACCAGGCACATGATGGTGGGGTTGTCACTGTTGAGCTTTCGAGAGTAATTGGAGGTGCTCCGCAACTTATTACCATTGGTGCAGATAAAACATTAGCTATATGGGACACAATCTCTTTTAAGGTGTTGTAACAACCTTCCATTATTTCTTAAGCTATGCGAAAATCTCATTTTATTTATGGAAATTTGAGTTGAAGGCTTCGGTACTTCATGTCTTTCCTTCCTTTCCTAATATAATCCCACACGCTTTCTTCTTTCTATCCCTTTTTTGTTCGTGTGTGCAGGAGTTGCGGCGTATTAAACCTGTTCCAAAACTTGCGTGCCACAGTGTGGCATCTTGGTGCCACCCTCGAGCTCCAAACCTAGATATCTTAACTTGCGTCAAAGATTCTCATATATGGTATGCATAATTTTTCTATTTCTGTCGTATGCTCTGACAGAAAGTTGATGATTACTAAACAACTGTGTTTTGCAATTTTGCATCAAAGATGCGTACAGTGGATATCACGGCTGTAACAACTCATTCATTTTGCAGGGCCATCGAACACCCCACCTATTCAGCCCTTACAAGGCCATTGTGCGAGCTTTCTTCACTAATCCCTCCGCAAGTTCTTGCACCAAACAAGAAACTTAGGGTATGTAATTATTTTCTTTTCTTTTTCTTTAGCAACTTTCTATCATGCGTTGGATGTCAATTTAGCATCTCTTGTTACTGTTAAATAATAGCTTCTGTTGATTATTTGTTGGATAGCTGGGAGGGAACAGAGTGATGTTTGAAACTTGTTATAGAAGTAGCATTATATTTTGCTTTGCAACTCTTTATATTCCCATTTTTTCAGTTTCTTCTTCTTTTAGGGGCTTATCTGGTATGATTATTTTATAACAATGTTGCATGTTTCTGGAAACTGGCCCATAAAATCATATATTTATGTTTTTAACCATGGTTGTCACTCCCAGATTGGATGCCAAACCTACATTAACAAAGGTGAAGGTTTGTTATTCACACCTTTATGTCGGTTGAATCACTCCTTTTCCCTGATAAATTCCTTAAAAGGATGGTACTAATTTTGATCTATTCTAAATTAACAAGGCACTTCTTATTTACTAATCAAGATAACGTATTAGAATTGCTGATCACTGAAAATTGATTTTTCTACAAATAACAATGTTCTTTTTATTGAACTTGGGTTGATACAGTTGTCTATTTGTTGGATTATGCTCTTTCACAAGTAATGTGTTGTCCTTTTAAGTTTTCTATATTGGAGTGCCTTTTATTTGACACCTTTAGGTTGCTACTGCAGGTTTATTGCATGGTCGCGCATCCTCTACAGCCCCACCTTGTTGCTACTGGAACCAATTTTGGTGTTATTGTCAGCGAGTTTGATGCTAGATCTCTTCCAGCTGTGGCTCCCATACCAACACCAACAGGAAATCGAGAGCATTCTGCCATTTATGTAGTTGAAAGGGAATTGAAGCTTCTGAATTTCCAATTGTCCAACACAGCAAATCCATCTCTTGGAAGTAATGGTTCATTATCTGAAACAGGAAAGTACAGGGGAGACTCGGCTGAACCATTACATGTCAAGCAGATGAAAAAGCATATCAGTACACCTGTTCCTCATGATTCTTATTCAGTTCTTTCTGTAAGCAGTTCAGGGAAGTAAGTCACCTTGACCCTTTCTTTCTTTCATTCTTTTTTTCCTTTTTTAACAAGAGAAAGAGAGGATGCAATTAAGAAGGGATGATTCCACACTCTTCCTTCCAATGAAACAGAGGAAGCAATAGTCATGTCAATGCAGCTTCATGTCAAGACAAAAATACTAACATCAATAAAGACTCGCCTGAAGTCTTACTTTTAAACATTGACATAAATTTACAATTATTTGTCTATTTCTTCCTTCGGAACAAAAAGGAAGCAACATGTGTAACCATCCACTCTTACTCAGTTGCCAGCAGCTACATCAATAAATGTATTTACCCTGGCTTTCTGAGCGCTTCGTATTCTGGCTTTGAGACTAATTATCTGTCCATCAAGTGGTTTTGACATTCATTTTTGTTTATCACTGGTATACACATGACATTGCTTTCTTACCAAACGTTTTGGTTGCAGATATCTCGCAATTGTGTGGCCAGATATTCCTTACTTCACTATATACAAGGTGAGCGACTGGTCCGTTGTAGATTCAGGCAGTGCAAGGCTTCTGGCTTGGGATACCTGTCGTGATAGGTTTGCTATTTTGGAATCTGCATTGCCTCCTAGAATGCCAATAATTCCGAAAGGGGGTTCATCAAGAAAAGCAAAAGAAGCAGCTGCAGCTGCTGCACAAGCTGCGGCAGTGGCTGCCTCTGCTGCCTCTGCTGCGTCTGTGCAAGTTCGTATCTTGCTGGATGATGGAACATCAAATATATTAATGAGGTCCATTGGTGGTCGCAGTGAACCGGTACTTGATGTCTTTCTCTCAATTTATGGCACTCTTGTAGTTCCTGTTCATGCACTGAAATTCGGTGATTGCAGTCTTTATTTTTGCTGTCATCTGTTGATCTATCTGAGGCATATCCATAATTTTCCTAGCTTTTTCAGTAATTCTAAACGATAAATTGCAATGGAATTTAGTTATATGAAAGGACTTAAAGTCATAACCCCTTTTCATCTTCCTGATGTGTAATGCCCAACTTCCTTTTCTGGTTATTGGAATGACTGGAATTTGGAAATTCATTGTAAATAAGTCATGCCTATTTTTCATTCAATTATCCTTTAAACTTAAACATATGATTCGTAACAATGAACTGGAGTGGCTGTTCAATGCCATTTCTTTTACTTCATCAATTTTTATTTAATCATTTTTTTATTTATTGATTTCATGTTTATCTTTTGATCATAATACCACTGACTGGAAAATACTATGGGATTATCTTGAAGTAGGATTCATTTGTGTTGTGTATGTTGTAGGAACTCTTGTGTGTGTGTGTGTGTGTGCCTGCGTGTTTTTAAACAGAGGGAAAAGCCTATGTCCTTAGTGCGCAGTATATCATGTAGTGTTTTCTACATGTAATTTAAGGCCAGGATTGTTTCAATCAATTTTCTTGCATGGAGCACTACAAGGTTCTCTAACTTTTTGCAATCTCTTCTAGGTTATTGGTTTGCATGGAGGGGCACTTCTTGGTGTGGCCTATCGAACATCTAGGAGGATTAGCCCTGTTGCAGCTACAGCTATTTCAACTATTCAGTCTATGCCCTTGTCAGGATTTGGAAGCGGTGGCCTTTCTTCTTTTACTACTCTCGATGATGGATTTAACTCTCATAAATCTCCTGCTGAGGCAGCCCCACAAAACTTTCAGCTTTATAGGTGAATCGTAGTCATCCTTTTAGTTGCCTGCCATTAGTTCAATTTCAAGATATTAGACATCAAAGAATCGTAGTCATCCTTTTAGTTGCCTGCAATTAGTTCAATTTCAAGATATTAGGCGACTAAGGTTACCTTTAGGGCGTATTTATGCTTATACATTCCTTTACAGTGCTGAACAAGATCTTTTAAGCACACTGATCCTTCTTAATGCTTGTTTGACAGTTGGGAAACTTTTCAACCTGTTGGTGGTCTACTTCCTCATCCAGAATGGACTGCATGGGACCAAACAGTTGAGTACTGTGCTTTTGCTTATCAGCACTATATTGTCATATCTTCTTTGCGGCCTCAATACAGATACCTTGGAGATGTTGCTATTCCCTATGCTACTGGAGCTGTTTGGCATCGGAGACAGCTTTTTGTGGCCACACCAACTACCATCGAGTAAGATCTGTTTATTGATTCACTTTTTATTATGTTTGATATTTAGTTTGAATCTTACTTTCTACATTTCTCTTCCATATATTAAGTTGGTTTCGTGTTGAGCTGCCATAGTATTCTGAACACTTGCTCTTGTAGGAAATAAAAAGATCTACAGAAATACGCCAGAGTCAATTTTTAGATTCATTAATTCAAGTTTCACAGGGGACTTGGAATGCTAAAATTAATAAATAAACAATTTGTGTATCTCATGCAATGGAGCTTTTACAATAAAGGAAGAGTAATAAGATATATTTATGAAGACATAGGCTGGATTTCTTCTTTTCACATGCCTAGATAGAGATGATTATGTTGTCTGAATCAGTACTTTGAATAATACTATTCCCATTGAAGTGCTGGATTATAGTATTACCATGGATTATCATGTATACTGATAGTAGTAAGCAATCCAAGGGCACTCCTTGTTTATGGTCCTATTGAAATGCGGTACTAGGAGAGAAAGTTGGAGATTGTTGTATCCTTGAGCAATATGCATGAAGTGACGATTCTTGTTCTTAAGAGTATAACCTGGACACTTTTGGTACTGTGGCAAGGTGATAGGTTAAAAACATTGATAACTTGTTGCCTTTGTCTTTGGGATTCATAGCGAGGCTACTGGAGATGGCAAAGTGAACATCTTAAAGTGATTCCATTCTTGGTTTTGGAAGCCACTGGCTTGGTATGTTATACTAAGAGTTTAAGTAGAAACATTTAGCGTGTTTTCCCAAAATATGTGCATAGTAAAAAATGACTGTTAATTTAGGACATGAAGGGTAATTTCCAAACAACTAAATAATCAATTACAACTAAATTAATTGAAGGGTTTTGGAGTTAGATCAACAACACAATCATACATATATATAGTCTGTTGCATTCAATTGCCTCTATGTTTGATAACTGGAATTGAATATGTAGATTGTGAAAGTCAGTGAAATTTTGTAAATAAGGACATAAAATTTTTATTTCTGAAAAATGAATGGCTTGCAATTGAAGTGGGTCATTCCTTGGAAAGAAAGGATCGACCTTAGTTAAAGAGAAACAAAAATGAAAGAGAAGTTTTTAAAAAAACTGACTATTGTGAGTCAAAGAGGTTTAAGTTTTGAAAGAAAAGTAATAATTTGAAGTGGTGATCATACATCAAAGAGAATTCTAGGAGTGTTTGAACAGTTTGAAGTAAATCTGCAAAAGTAAGCTTTAGTTTTACGGTGAACACGCACAACTTTATATCTCAACCTGTATAATTTTTTTACTATAATTTTCTAATGTTATCTGGGTCTATAGGCCCACTAACATGAGCAAAAGGCTTGTTCAGTTATCATGGTTCTTTCATGGAGTACTTACATACTTTCCCCTTTAGGTATTGATTACATAAGATATTCTCTTCTTCTTGCCTTTTCTTTCTTTCCATGCCTCTTTGGAAATTTAATTTTGACAAGCTCATATCCAACACACGACTCTTCTTCAGATGTGTTTTTGTAGATGCTGGAGTTGCAGCAATTGATATAGAAACAAGAAAGAGGAAAGAGGAAATGAAAATGAAAGAGGCACAGGCTAGAGCAGTTGCTGAGCATGGAGATTTAGCCCTAATCACAGTAGATGGTCTGCAATCTGCTACCCAAGATAGAATACCATTAAGGCCCCCAATGCTACAGGTTTAGTAACTTTATAGCTTTCCTGGTGTTATTTAATTATGTTTTTATATTGATCTTTCATTTTGGGCATATTGGGAAAATTTGGCCCCTCTTTTTTGGCTCTTCTTTCTGCCCTTTGTTCGGTAGAGAGATATTGCTGGATTAAATTTGGTCCGCATGTACTCAAAACAAGGCAATTATGTCATCCTAATTCCATTACCTATCCCGTGTACAATTTGACGAGGGAAGAAAAAGATTCCAAGTGTTGTGTTCACATTTAGTGAGCTTCTTTGGCGAGAAACTTCAGGGAGTGATAAAGATTTTGTTCCAGATTGTGTATCAACTTACTGAACTTCTGTAGTTCCAGTGTTCTTTTATTGTGTAAAGTTTAAATCGTCCCAACTTTTTAATAAAGATAAAAGCCATGTTAGAATGTCTCTACATCTGTCAGTTTGGCTGAAGTAGTATTTCATATGTTATATTAGCCAAATGAATTGAGCTGGGATAATGCTTCATCAAGTTGAGTTATGTTGTTGAATATATTATTTCAGACAGCAAACAACACTTGGAAAGCAAGCAATCAACTGATCCACTCTTGTCATTTACCTTTTATTTTGTTTGCTTAAAGTGTTTTCAGCCTTGAGTTTGTTTATTTTGTACCATGTTAACTGTGTGACTAGAAAAATCTGGTTTTCTTCTTGCTTCTTTAAGTGAATAATACATCTTCCTTTCAGGTAGTCCGGTTGGCTTCTTTTCAGCATGCTCCTTCGGTGCCACCTTTCTTAACATTGCCAAAACAGACTAAAGTTGATGGAGATGATTCAGCAATGCCAATAGAAGAGAAAAAAGTTAATGAGATAGCTGTTGGTGGTGGAGGGGTCTCCGTGGCAGTTACTCGTTTTCCAACAGAGCAGAAACGACCAGTAGGACCTCTAGTTGTGGTGGGTGTGAGAGATGGAGTTCTTTGGCTTATCGATAGGTAATTTGGTGATCTTTGTTTGAATAATTTCCAAGATTTAAGGCTAGTCCATTAGCCTTCACTATCAGGAAATGAGGATGCAAATGCTATTTCAACTTTTCCCTTTTACTATTTGCCTTCTTCTTTAAGAATCGTTGGCATAGTTTTATGTTGTGGTTGTATGGTCTCAATCTAATTAGCAACTCTATAACTTGCAGTAGTGCCAGCAAATTTGTTGTTTGGTCTTGTTTTTAAGTCAAACCTCAAGCTACCCAATTTTCCATGATGAAATTGACCACATAACAGAGTATATCATTATTCGATTTTCTCATGTTTTTGATGGATGTTCTAGCTGAAAAAATGTACCGAGTGTTCTCACCTCTATTTATAATGATTTGTTTAGAGAACTTAGTTTTCACAGCCTGTGTCTCCATTTCTTGCTATGCTATATTACCTCCATTATCACTTCTATACTGTTTGTTTTGCTTCTATTGCTAGTAAAAAATCTGTCAGTCCACGTGTTGCTTTTTTGTGAACAAGTACATTATTCTGAGTCTATCTCTTGAACCACCTTTTACCGAATTAAGTTTCTTTCAATGGCTTCTTTACTCAATTCATAGAAACTTTCCACTGCCCTGTTTGAGAAACCCAGGTTCAGAATGAATATTGTGTGTGGGTCCATGTTTTCCATGGCTATATTTGTACTCACTCCAAATGAAACTTGCCTGTGTATTAGTTTTTAGAGTTGAAGCTCCACCATGATGCCTGATTTTGGGCTCCTCCATCTCTGACTCACATTTCATACTTAACTTGCAGTAATCTTGTTTTAATTTAGTTTGTTGAATAAGTTGCACTTACAATGTAAAGTATATTGTCCTTAATTGTAAATTTGGGCCTGCAAAAGTTTAGGAGTTTAGGCTAGAAGTTAATTTCATGGGCTGGTTGTGTAAATTGGTCTTTTTAATTGGTGATAATAGTAGAGTGTTTTTACTAGTATCAACAATAAAAGTTCAAAGTTGACTAATTGTTTCTAATTGCTACAGCATGATGGCTGAGTACTCCGGCACATAGAAAATTGAACTATGGCATTTTTCTTTCCATTTTGAAAAACTGGAGCTATTATCTTCATTTCAAGGTCTACCATGCAAATCTATTGTGTCATACAAGAGAACTCAATATGATAGATGAATTCTCTTTGGTAGGTACATGTGTGCACATGCCTTATCCCTAAGTCATCCTGGTATTCGTTGCCGCTGTCTTGCTGCTTATGGGGATGCTGTTAGTGCAGTGAAATGGTATTTACTTTTTCCACCTTGTTTAATTACAGATGAATTGCAGAAATGCTTTATTACCGTGGGGATTATAGTTCTTGCATAACCTATATTCTACTTCCATATGCAGGGCAAGTAGGCTTGGTAGGGAACATCATGATGATTTGGCACAATTTATGATGGGGATGGGCTATGCTACTGAAGCACTGCATTTACCTGGAATATCTAAGAGGTCTGCCTTGCAACTTCCCCAACCCTCGGTCTCTCTCTCTCTCTCACGCACACACCGTCCCCTTGTATTGCAAACAACCTGTCTACTGCTATGATGTCCTTAAGCATAGCTCTAAGGCGTACATAAATACACATACCATTACATTGTTGATTAGTGTTTCAGTTCTTGCTATAGTAAAAGAAGTTCAAGTAATTCTATTCAAAGTTTTAACTATGGCAATTCAACTCCATTAAGAGCATTTTAATGTTGCATTCTGCAGCATGTGCTTAACTTTTTTTTTTTTCTTCCCTTGCAATCAAGTTATATTGCTAGTCTATATTATTTATAGGTTGGAGTTTGATCTGGCCATGCAAAGCAATGATTTGAAAAGAGCTCTTCAGTGCCTTCTTACCATGAGCAACAGCAGGGACATAGGTCAAGATGGTATTGGGCTGGATTTGAATGACATTCTCAACATAACAGCTAAAAAAGAAAATATTGTTGAAGCTGTTCAAGGAATAGTGAAATTCGCAAGGGAGTTTTTGGACCTCATTGATGCTGCGGATGCTACTGCTCAAGTTGATATTGCTCGTGAAGCTCTCAAGAGGTTAGCTGCTGCAGGTTCTGTGAAAGGAGCCTTACAGGGCCATGAATTGAGAAGACTTGCTTTATGCCTGGCAAATCATGGAGAGTTGACAAGGCTGAATGTGTGTACCGGCATATTTCTGCATTTTCTTGAATATTGATTCTATGAGTTGTGAATGCATGCTTGAATATTATACATCTGGTAGCTAATATTGACTATAGAGTGTTTCTTTGTTGAAAATGATTAAGAGTTTGATATTATGGTTTCTTGTATGTACAAGTGCAAGGGTTTAGATTCTCAAAATTTAAACCAGAAGTACAGGACTGAATTGAAGCCACAATGGTAGTTTAGGCATTGCTTTCGACTTGGTCATAAGAAACCAACATGAGAGAAAAGAGGGGTGGGTGAGTGGGGGGCGCGGGGTTGGTTATCTTTTAGATTAATAAACATGTATGGCTTTGTATTTCAAGAAAGCAAGCTGGCTGTTATTGCCATGGCCTGCTTGCCATGAATGACTTTGTTAGTTGATTCTGGGTGTTAAATGATTCTCAATTTTATGCCTTAGTTGATTCTGGGTGGTCAATGATTTTCAATTTTATGCCTTGCTGTTGATGCCTTTATTTTTATCTCTTCTTTTGAAAGCAATTTCTTGTGTGCGCTGCAGGGTCTGGTAAGCAATTTGATTTCAGCTGGCCTGGGACGGGAAGCAGCATTTTCTGCTGCAGTGTTGGGAGACAATGCTCTCATGGAAAAGTCATGGCAGGATACTGGGATGCTTGCGGAGGCTGTACTACATGCCCATGTATGAATAGTTCATATTCATTATTTATTTTTAAACCTTGAGATTAAAATTTTTTATCTGACCTTCCTCATGAATATCTCTAGGCTCATGGACGCCCAACACTCAAGAATTTGGTTCAGTCTTGGAACAAAATGCTGCAGAAAGAGGTTGACCATGCTCCCTCTAAAAAGATCGATGCTGCATCTGCCTTTCTGGCTTCACTTGAAGAACCTAAGCTTACCAGTTTAGCAGAAGCCGGGAAGAAGCCACCAATTGAAATTCTTCCACCTGGAATGCCATCTCTTTCTGCTCTAATTACCACTCAGAAAAAACCAACTCCTGGTATACAGAGTTCACAGCAGAAACCGTTACAATTAGAAGCTCCTCCCACTGCCACTCCTGAAGCAGTTAATGTATCTGCTGCAACCACAGCAACTTCAGAAGCTCCAGAAAATGCATCTGCTGCAACCACAACTACTTCAGCAGCTACAGAAAATGCACCTCCTAGCACTACACCAGAAGCAGGAAGTTCTCCACTGCCATCAGAAGCAAGCAAACCTACTGTTGATGATAAGGCTCCTACTTCATCCCCAGGAAGTAATTCAGATCAAATTGCTCCAGTGGAAAGTATACCGGAAACAATTGCAAGTGATTTGGCATTGCCACCTCAAATACCAGATAACCAGGGAGCAACTGTTCCAGCTAATACTACATTGCCAATGAGTGATGTTCTAGGTGGAAAAAGCTAGTTTGAGCAACTTGGTTCCAGAAGATAAAGAAAATTCTTTCAATAATTTCTTTTTACCTGCAGGAATTTTTGAGTTTCTTGCAGCCGGCCAAACCATTCCAATGTCAAAACAAATAGCAGCACAAAAAATCAGTTTGCAGCTCAGGTGCATCCTTTCGTGTATAATTTTGTCGGTTATTTACTTGTGTGCATCCATAGTGTATATTTTTTGTTGGTGATTCACTTGTGTGTATCCTTGGCGTATGTTGCCTAGAGCCGATTTGGCTCGTTGAAAGTTTCGTAGCCTCCAAAAGAGAAGAGATAAAGTGTACTCCTTGGTGTGTATGGTTGTTGGTCTTCAATGTTTCATACATACAGTGTCGAAATTAGAACTTAGCTTCGGTCTTCCCGTGGTGGAACTTAACATGATGTAGATACCTGAACAAATTTAACCGCACTGTTTTCAGTTTTTGGGATTTTAAGTGTACGAACCAACGGGTTTTTAATATCTTTTTTGAAAAGAAGAATTCTTTCATCTTGGCAATATAAAGATAAAGAGTAGCATGAGAGTTGTTTTTTAAAGTATTAAAATAATATTTTATTTTAAAAAATATTTATGATATTATTATTTAAGTATTGATAATGTGAGAACGAAATTGTCATTGTAAAGACAAATAAAATATATTATTATTTAAAATATATTTTTGATATTGTTATTTTAGTATTGATAATGTGAGAACGAAATTGTCAATGTAAAGACAAATAAAATATACGAGGTCAAGTGGTAAGGATTTGGGATAAAAGATTTGTTCTCACTGTGGTCTCAGGTTCGAGTCTTTGGTTGTTCAGATGATGATCACTGGAGACTTATATGGTTGTTAACTTCAGGGCTCGTGGGATTAGTCGTGGTGCGTGTAAGCTGGTCTGGACACCCATGTTAATCTAAAAAAAAATATATATATAAGGCAGTTCGCATCTTTAAATTTAGATGTTCTCTGTTTTTCCCATATTAATCTAAAAAAAAAAAAATATACGAGGCAGTTCATTTCTTTAAATTTAGATGTTCTCTGTTTGTACTTTAAATTTAGATGTTCTCTGTTTTTCATATGTTTCCTTCGTTTAACCCTCATTGTTAAGGAGAGAGACCTGAAGCAACAGAATCAATGTGTGTAGCGTTGAAATTACTAGGAACGTAATTGAATAATGTATGCGAGTAGTAATGTTGAAAAAAATTTACTTTGAATTAATATTTTTTTAATATTTTTAAATTATTTTGATATATTAATATTAAAAATAAAAAAATATTTTTTTGATATATTTTTGAATGAAAAATATTTTAAATTAAAAAGCAAGTATAACTATATTTTTAAACATGTATGTTGAACATATACTTTTACTTTTTTTATTATTAAGAAATAGTCTAAAAGATGTAGATAAAGTTTCTTATGCCATTATTCATCAAAAAATTAAAATTATTTTGGATTGTTATAGTGATTTGTTTTATTGTATTTTTATAGGTCTAAATTAATGGCTAATTAAAACATATTTATTAAAAAAATGCAAGATTCAAAAATAGAAGACTAAGATGATAAAAGTAATAAAAATAGATGGTTTTTTTAAACTTGAGGCTAAATATATACTTAGATCCTTTAACTTTTAAAATTATAATTTTTTTTCGGTTAAGAATTTAAGAAATTTAATCTTGACTTCAAACTTTTTTATTTTTATTTTTATTTTTTTTGAGAAAAGATAGAGAAAATGATTAGATTTTGATATAAAAAAAAAGTTTTAGTTGAGATCAATTCTGACCACAAGACACATGTGATTTGTGTGTCAATAAGTTATTATTAATAGAAAAAGTTTATAAGTGTTTTTCTCTTTAAACTTACATGAAATAATAGATTTGAACTTGAAAGAATTTTTATTTTAGGTTGATTGTGAGTTTTAAAGTTAATTTTTTTAGTTGTTAGAAGCTATAAATATGTTTTAAAATGTGTTTAGGGTGTTTTCTTGTTTTTTCTATATCAAAACATGGTTGAAAATGGACTTCTTTTGATATGAAACAGACCAGCTTAATTTTTCAATGATAATAGATCGCTGGAATCTAGATAGTGTAGGCAACGCGTCGTCTGTTATTTTTTTTCAAAGCTATTGTGCACCCTTTTAGATTTTTTTTTTTATAAAAAAAACTAAAAATTCTTGGCCTTCCTAATATGTGAGACCAAGCCTTTTTATTTTTAACCCATTACAATTGCTTTTTTTTTTCATGGTGAATGATCACTTTTTAGCAGTGAAACTCGTCGTTTTTAATGTCATCGAGTTTTATTTAATAGGGGACTCCATTTAAGTTTTTTTTTTCTTTATCTTGTTGAAAAAAGTAGACTGAAGCATAGGAAATTTTTAGGATTCTACTTAATTTTTATGTTCTAACCAATTACATACTAATTTAAAACCAAAAATAAACTTATTGAGGTTTACTGGATGTTTTTAGCTGAAAAAATAGGTGAAGTGTTTTTTGAACCTTTTAAATCAATTGCTTTACTTTTTGACCATTTATGATAGTCAAAATCTAAAGTGGCTTGTAGTTTTTGTTTTAAAAAAAAATAGGTGGATGACATTTCATCTTTAAAAAGGTTTAAAGAAAGGCTCGCAATCACATGCTTAATCTTCTTCTTTTTTTTTTTTGATTTTTTATTAATTTCTATTTTAATTTTATTTTTCTATCTTGAGTTTTTATTAATTTTGTTCATAATTTTGTTTTTAATTTCCTTCTTCATTATTTGATTGATTTTGAATTAAACCATGCAATTTACTTCAGTTTGCTTTTGTTAGTTTATCATAGCTTCAAATAAACTTCTAAGAATTTAGTTGTTACTCAATTTTACGAGTATCTATTTTATTTTATTATTAATTAAATAAAAAATATTTTTTTAAAAAATAAAGTTATTAAATCTAGTGAATTTCATGACATGGATCACAGGTTGTGCAGATTAATTAGGATTAATTAGAAATTAAGTTTTATAATTTATTTTTATTAGGTTATTATAGTCTTATACAAATATTTCAATATTAAGTTGATATTTAATTTTGTAAGTATATTTTTTTATTATATAATTATATAAAAAATAGTTATGAAATTATTAAGACCAATGTAGTCTTTGAGCAAGATAGCATGCCATGAAATTTTCTAAAATAAAATTATATTTTTATCGGTTATTCAAATTATTTTTTAATATTCTAAGTTAATTAGTTTATGTCATAACAATTTAATTTACACAAATTTTAATTTAAAACCAATAATAATTAGAGTAAAATAATTTAAATTTTCAGCTGCTAAAAAGTTCTCCATAACTTGAGATTTTTTCTAATTTTTTTTTTTTATATGACCGGGCATCACATGGCAAATTATCTAATTGTGCTATAATATATGGTATAAATTATTAATGTAAAATGAAAACAACAGTGGTGGTGTAATAACAAAAGTAAAAAACAAAAATAGAGTTGACTCATTCTCTTGCAGTATATGACTCACTCAGATGCTAATTAAAACAGTTTTTTCTGAAATTAACATATTTTAATTATATCATATTTTATAAACATGATATATTTAAACATCACGCTTTTAAAATATAACAATTTAAAATATTAAATTTTAAAAACATTTTTTAAAAACAATAACTTAAAATATCTGTTTTGAAAGTGCGAAATCAATTATAATAGAAAATATATTTTTTATCCCATCGGTGAGAGCTAGCCGGCACCTGAAAAAAAAAACTAGTATAAAGAGTCGATATTATTTTTCCTCCCTACCTCTATTAGTTTTAGATGGGTTCCTATCAATAGATTAGGAGGTTGTGTCCAAGAGGAGCATCTAGCGAAAAGGAGGAGGTCAGCGCGTAGGAGCTGCTGAAGGAGATTCTGTCACGGCTTGGCCGGATCGGGTTTAGTTGAAAGTGGAGTTGGTTCTGCTGTTACATACACGGTGGTCGTTATTGCTGACCACGATGAATTTATTGGTTGTCGGCTGGAGGATGAGAGCTTTTTATGTTGTTGGTGGTAAGGAGTTGCTTGCCGCAAGTTGAAGGGAAGGGCTTGGTGTTGAAATGTGAGGTTCTGTGTTTGTAAGAGATTTAGCAAAAGAAGAAATGAAAAGGAAGTTGGGGTTCTTGTGTGTGGTCTTTAGTGATCATTGGGGAAGGAGAATGAAAAATGGGAGGCTGATGTTCTTAAATGCTCAAAACTACGAGGGAGACTTTGGTTTTTTTTGGGGGGGTAAAGACAAAAAAAGAAGAAGGTGTGGGGGCTGCTGATTTCTCAATATGGTGGTATATTTTTTGGCAAATAATGATCAAGTGGTGGTCTCAACAAAAACTTATGCATGGACCGCATGGTGGAGGAGTGGGAGATCATTGAATCTTCTTCTTGAAAAAAAGTTGTTTATTATGTAGACATTATATTAAATATGATTGTAAACCACGGTAAAATTATAATTAATATTACAATATTTATGCTATTTTACTTAAACATTTTGCTTTTGCACTATTTTGTATTTTATATGCTAATTTCTAAATTTATCTTATTAAAACAAGATATTAGAGCATCTTGAAGGAAAAAGCTAAATAAAAAAATAAATTTATAAATTTATACTTTTAGGTTTTGTTTTTATTTTAATTCATTACAACGGCTTAGACAAATAAATAACTAAAATAGATATTCATTCTTTAAAGAGTTATTTTTACATTTTTCTATAGAAATGACAAAAGAAAATGATTGTTGGCCAACAATTTATTTTTTTCCTTTAAAAGTAGAAGGAAAGAAATTTTAAAATTTTATATTGTACCTCACCCTTCTATCAAATTTTAAAAAATAAGAATTAATTATTTTTCGGAATGAAAAATGGGAGGCTGATGTTCTTATATGCTCAAAACTACGAGGGAGACTTTGTTTTTTTTTTTTTTTGGGGAGGGGGGGTAAAGACAAAAAAAAAGAAGGTGTGGGGCTGCTGATTTCTCAATATGGTGGTATATTTTTTGGCAAATAATGATCAAGTGGTGGTCTCAACAAAAACTTATGCATGGACCGCATGGTGGAGGAGTGGGAGATCATTGAATCTTCTTCTTGAAAAAAAGTTTTTTATTATGTAGACATTATATTAAATATGATTGTAAACCACGGTAAAATTATAATTAATATTACAATATTTATGCTATTTTACTTAAACATTTTGCTTTTGCACTATTTTGTATTTTATATGCTAATTTCTAAATTTATCTTATTAAAACACCATATTAGAGCATCTTTAAGGAAAAAGCTAAATAAAAATAAAAATTTATAAATTTATACTTTTAGCTTTTGTTTTTATTTTAATTCACTACAACGGCTTAGACAAATAAATAACTAAAATAGATATTCATTCTTTAAAGAGTTATTTTTACATTTTTCTATAGAAATGACAAAAGAAAATGATTGTTGGCCAACAATTTATTTTTTTCCTTTAAAAGTAGAAGGAAAGAAATTTTAAAATTTTATATTATACCTCACCCTTCTATCAAATTTAAAAAAATAAGAATTAATTATTTTTTGATTAATTAATAATATCAATTGTGTTAATTATCTGAAATTAAAAGATATATTTGTTTAAAAGCTTTTTCAATTTTTTTTTATATCTCTTGATTTTTTAGATCTTTTATTGTTAATTTGATATTTGTAATGATTTTTATTGTTTTTTTATTTTATATTTTTGATAAGAGTTAAGAAAAACAATTTTTACTTATGTTGTTATTTTTAACAAAATTAAGAGAAAGTAACAATGACAGCTGATATTGATAAAAATATAGAGTAATATATTTAAAATTTATTTTTGATTCTTTGTTTTAATTTTAGATTAATTATATTTTATCTTGTTAAAAATACAATTAAAACAATATATCAATTATTTTTTAGTTAAATTGTAATGTTAGAACAAGTAGGAGACAATGCTTATTATTAATTCATATGTATTGAAACTATAAAATTGTTAAATATTGAATGTGAACTTTTTTTACACTCTCTTGTAAGGTTTTAACTTGAGTGTTTTTCTTTTTAATATAAATGAATTCAAATTTTTCAAACTCTTTTACTAACTTTCTTATGAGTGAATTATAAGATATTTCTACTCAACTAAGTGATTCTAATTAATTAATTAATTAATGACTTAACATACTTGAATTTAAATGTCTATACAATAAAAAAAATCATAAAGAAGTAAAAACTTCTTACCAGAGAAATATTGTTTACTTAACTCTATATGACTAAATACAAGTAAAGATTCAATTACAGGATTTGAATAACAAACAAAATAGTTATGTGCTCGAGTATATCCTTACTTTGTAGAAAATAGAGGAAATTTAAATAATTATTCTCAAATAAGCATTTTAAGAAGATGATAAGAAATAAATAGAAAAATCGGTAAATTTGTTAGATTTATTACTTAAATTAAAAATCATCACTAAAGTATAATGACCGAAGAATCAAGAATAATTTTAATATTTATTTTTGAAATCTTAGAATGTTAGTGATTATTTTTTTAATTTTAAAATTTAAAATGTTGGTCGTTATTTTTTTAAAATTTGATTTTTTTTTAAATAAAAATAAAAATTTAAAATGTTAGTGGTTATTTTTTTAAAGTTTGAATTTTTTTAAAAAAATAAAAATAAAAATTTAAAATGTTAGCCTTTTTTTTAAAGAATTTAAATTTATTTTTAAAAATTTAAAATTTTAACGGTAAGATATAAAACTAAAAACTAAAAATATTTATAAAAATAAATTTTAAATTATATCTTTTAACTTTTATATTATTTCATTAATTTTATATTACTTTTATAAATTACTCATATTACTCATATAATTAATAACATCATAATTATATTACATATAAAATATCTAAATTAGTTATATAATTATATTAAATTAATTTAACATGAAATATATTAAAATATAATTAATTTTTTAAATAGTTTTTTATTATATAACAAAAAAACTACATTTATATTATTTAAAAAATTATTTTATTAATTTAGCTTTCAATATACTATTTTTTATTGGAGATGATATTAGCGATTAGAGAGAGATCTCATCTCTCCCATTAGAATCAGGTCCGATCACGCACACACACCCCTCTCTGTCGCGTTCATCTGACTGTAAGCAGGTCTTTCTTTCTATTTTCATTTTTTTTGGCTCCCTAGAAACATAATAGAATGAATCATCCACAAAACCCAAAACAACAACATTATTTGATGTGTATTTGTGAAGAAATTAATTCCAAGAGAAACTGATAAATTAGTTAAGAGCATGTGCCGCTTCCGCTGCTGCTTCTGCTTGTGGGGTCTCCATGGTTTTCAGTGAATTCGTCTCTTTTCTTCTTCCAGAAACACGTCAATGAAAAATGGGGAAGGGCCTGCCTTTCTTTTTACGCAAAAACAGCCGTCGTCGCTTGAAGAAGGCTGGTGGCCTGCAATCACCACCATCTGCTCCGCCTCCTCCACCGTTGAGATCACCGGAATTAATTGATGCTAATTACAACAACAATAATTTGGTGGTTGGGGCTGCGACGGGGCCTGGGAAGGGGAAGAAGAAGGCCGGAGGAGCAGCCAGGCTGTGGATGAGATTTGATAGGTTGGGGAATTCGGAGTTGGTGGAATGTGATAAAAGTGCCATTATCAAGCGCGTCTCTATTCCTGCTAGGGATTTGAGAATTCTTGGCCCTGTCTTCTCTCACTCCTCTAACATTCTTGGTAATTTCCTCCTTCTTCTTCTAGTTATTCTCCTTTTCTTCTTTTTAAGTTTTAGTTTTTTAATTTTTATTATTGTTTACAGCCAGGGAGAAAGCCATGGTTGTCAACTTAGAGTTTATAAGGGCTATAGTGACTGCTGAAGAAGTCCTGATTTTGGATCCTCTGTGCCAAGACGTTCTTCCATTCGTGGATCAGCTAAGGCAACAACTTCCTCATAAGACCGCAGTTAACATCCAGCAGGTCTCTCAGAATGCAGACACTCATGCTTCTACCGGGGGTCAATGGCTGCCTGTTCCAGAAGCTGCTGAAGGTTTGCAGTGTGAGCTTCCATTTGAGTTTCAAGTTCTGGAGATTGCTTTGGAGGTTGTCTGTACCTACTTGGACTCCAATGTGGCTGACCTGGAGAGAGATGCTTATCCCGTGCTGGATGAATTGGCCATGAATGTTAGCACCAAGAATCTTGAACATGTTCGCAGTTTGAAAAGTAATCTCACTCGTCTGCTTGCTCGTGTACAGAAGGTAGTTAGTTTGCCAATACAGTAATCTAAATACTTGTCTTGCTCAACAATCTCTCTTCAATAGTACAACTTAGAAAGAACGAAAAACTAATTTGTCAAACAAAATAATACTGATACTGATAATATTAACAGTACGGCTTTACTCTTAGCATGGAAAACCAATGTTTAAATTTCATTTTTCTTAGTTTTTAGATGCACTTATAGAAGATTTAAGCTAGAATATATCTGAATAGAATCTTTTAACAATTTTTCCAGTCGATCCTCCCTCCTCTCAATAAATTATAAATCTAGGTGTGCACACATGTACAAGAAAGATCAAGAAAGCATCTAGCATTTTCTTTGCCATCCCTTATGTACAATTCTTCCTTTTTTCCCCAATTTCAATATGAACTTGGAATCCAATTACTTGAACTTGATACAATGCCTCCGCTTATCTTTTTCCAGTTATCATAGGAATAATAAATATTCTACTCAGCTGAATTATGCAATCTTGGAAATGCGTGGATAAGAACATGGGAGTTGGCATGTAGAAATTATTCATGCATTCTAAAGAACCTAACTTTACCGTACATTATTTGAACATCATTTCGCATGCGCAATCTTCCTCTCTCCCTATATATGCTTGAATGTACGGATACTTCATGCAAAAATCTTGATGAAGCTATTTACACTAATCACGTTATTGCTAGAAATTGTTGTGGGCAATGTTTTTTTACTCTTTGATGTTTGTGAATCTCTTGTAAATTTTGCATGTCTTTTTTTTTTCCCGCTATAATTGTTGAAACTGTCACTTAAATAATACTTTGTGCGGTAAAATATTTTTTATACATGAAACTGACAGACGTCATCAAGATTGTTACAGTTGATGCTGAATCCTAATTTACTCTCTCTCATTTTCTCATCAAGGATTACTTATCTGTCTAATATCAGGTGAGGGATGAAATTGAACATCTATTAGATGACAATGAAGATATGGCAGATTTGTATTTGACAAGGAAGTGGATTCAGAATCAGCAATCTGAGGCCTTGGTGGGTTCTGCAGCTTCAAATAGCATAACCCTTGCTACACCACATCTCCCTCGACTTGGCTCTAACCGGAGTGCAAGTATGGTGACTAGCAGTGTTTTGGATGATGATGATGATGTAGAGGATTTGGAGATGCTGCTTGAGGCTTATTTTATGCAGCTAGATGGAACACGAAATAAAATATTGTCTGTGAGTATTGTCTCCTTGTCTACAACTTGACAAAATGTTAAGCAAATAAGTGTCTTGATAAATGTCAGTTCTTACACCGGTCATTCGCTAAGGATGCTCTCAGTCCAAAAGCAAGCTTGTTGGTCTAAATTAAATAGGTGCTTGTCTCTTGACATTATAAGGGACATGTTTTGCCTTAATATTATAAGTATTGTATTATAATTTTCAGATTGCTAAATTACTGATGGATTATATAATTTGAGAAGCTCATGGGGCTTTGAACTCTTCAGAATTTTGTCTGATCAGTTCTGATTGAACTGCAACTGGTGTCATACAAAAATCAATGTGCCGATCCCAATCAGGCAAGAATAACAATTAAAGGATTAATGACTCCACTTAGGGTTCTGCTTGTATCATTGGTTGTCTTTTAATGGTGAAAATTTTTCAATGAGGGAATCATGAATGTGAGAAAGTGGCATAAAATGCTTTGCTATTCAAATGCATCCATGATTAGATTTTTGGACTTCTCAATCCATTTATGGTGATTATTTAGCTTCACGTTCTTGAAGTTAACAGGGTTCTTGAATTTTCAGGTTCGTGAGTATATTGACGACACAGAAGACTATGTCAATATTCAGCTTGACAACCAGCGAAATGAACTCATCCAGCTCCAACTGATATTAACCATTGCGTCTTTTGCTATTGCAGTGGACACCCTGATAGCTGGGATGTTTGGCATGAACATTCCCTGTCAATTGTATCAGATACATGGGATATTTGGCTACTTTGTGGGAAGTTCTTCTACCGGATGTTTGTTTCTTTTCCTGCTTGTTCTAGGTTATGCCAGATGGAAGAAGCTACTTGGTTCATAAGTCTTTAACTCTTTGCCAGTTGCAGATGTGTGTTTAATGTGGTAGATTCTCACAGCTGACTTATCTGTGAATCCCAGTACACACTGTCTTACAAGTACATATTGGAGAGGGCAACCTTACTGTATGAAATGACTGGTGATTTTCTTTAGTCCATACCAAAGTACGCTACACGTCAGTTTCTTCTTCTCTTCCTCTTTTCTTTTTTCTTGGGGCTTGAAAACTTGACCTTTGCATTCATGTAATGCTGAAATCTTTTATCCTTTTCATGGCAACCAAACAGAGGGCTGTAAAAGTTGTGTTTATGTTGCCATTTTTTTTTTCCTGGTGTGTATCATATCGTCGACTTGAGATTGGCTGTAGTTTATGTTGCCATTTTTTTTTTCCTGGTCTGTATCATATCGTCGACTTGAGATTTTAGTCGTGAGATTGGCTGCAAGGATGAGTTATTTACATTTTAGTTTTAAAACCCGAGACAAATCTTGGACCATGAGATCTGAGGGTTAAACCCGAGACAAATCTTTGGTGTGCATGGCACCAAAGGATTCATCTAGCTGCTTCCAACTAGTTTGGGATAAGGCATTTTTTTGTTGTTTTTTTTTTTTCAGAGAAGAAAACACAGTAAAAATTCTTCCGAATTTTTTTTTTCCCAGCAGGAATTCTGAATTTTGATCTTCTTGCAGTCGGGTGAACCATTGCATGCCTAAACAAAAAGCGGTACCAAAATTAATTTATAGCTCGGTGCATCTTTTTCATGTAGTTGATTCAGCTTGTGTGAGTTTTATAGGCAGGCCTGGCTCCACAAGAGAAGAAAATTAACCAAAACTAACACTTGCTTGGAAAAACACTGCTCCTCCATACTTGTAGAGCAGTGTAACTTAACGATGGCTTTTTCCTGCTTACCAAAAACTACTGCATTGGTTTCTGAGAGCATTAAATTTTTTTTCACAATGCTTATTAATTATTATTAAATTAAAAAGCAAATAATTTTTTTTACATTCTAAAAACACAAATAAATCCCAAACAGCTATGAAAATAAATTCATAAACTGACATCATGAGCTTTCTAATATTTTCATTATGATTTTTCTATTATTATTATTGGGTTATCTGAAGAGTTATTTGATAATTTAATAAATATAAAATATTATTGAATAATAAAAACTTGATGGCTTGTACAACGCCTACACCGAGGTGCTTCTATATTTTATGCAGCACATACGAAGCTTTATAATAACCAAAGTTTTTGTTGTGTTATTGAAAGTGTTCCAGTGTTTTTTTTTTTTTTGATTAATGTAGGTGTCAGCTTGCGTGCACCACGACTAATCCCACGGTCCACTGAACATCCTGCAAGTCCAGTGAACAGATAAGACACCGCGGGGGTGACAGACGTACCACACAGAGAGGACCCAGTAAAGACACAAAGGAAATCATTTTCCAGCCCCACTGCCACTGAGACTCGAACCGAAATTCGAAAGAAGGAAAGCAGCACCTACACCACTGAGCCATAACCTGCTAGGTAGTGCCCTTTTTTTCTTGGGTTGGCTTGTGGTGGTGCTAGGGTGACAGTGTAACGCTGATGGTCATTTTTCTTTTTTCACTTTTTTTTTCATCCCTTTATAATCAATTTACCATGTAAAGTTTTAAAATTATCGTTTAATATATTACCAAATTCAGTTTTTATTCTTTTAATTTTTAATTTATACTATAAAATTTTAATTTATTTTTAATTTCATTATTCAGTCTTATTTTGTGATATGTTATTTTTAAAATTTTAGTTTTTATTCTTTTAATTTTTTTAATTATTTTTTAATTCATTTTTTTATTTTCACCATTCAATCAAAAAAATATTTTTATTTTTTATTCAATTTTGATTGTCACTCTTTTGATTTTTTTTATTTGGGTCATTTTGTTAAATTTACTTTTCTTTTCAATTTCATTCTTCAATCAAAAATAAATTTTATTTTTTATTTATTTTAATCCCTATTTTTTAATTATTATTTTTTTATTTTGGATCCTTTTGTACAAATAAATTATTGTTTTTTATTTCAATCTTCAATATTTGATTGATTGATTACTGAGATTTGTGATTTTTTAATATTAGGTGCTTATGATTTAATGATTCAAATCATATATTTGAAAAGCTAACGTAAGTAATTTTTTTTATTTTTTTCTATCGAGTTATTTTAATCTCATGATCTGGGTTACAAGTTGGACGAGCTAACCTCGGTTGAATCGACCTTTATTACTTTGATTATCGGTTTGTCATTTTAGCTCATATCAAATCATGTTGATTTTTTATTCTTTTTTTTTTTATCTAATTTCATCCTTTTATATTTAATGGCTTGATAATTAAGCTATATTGTTCGTCTTCTTCTAAAAAAAATAATTTTTCAAGGTTATCGTGATTTCTTCTTCTTTTTTTTAATTTGATCCATACATTATTATTGCCTATTTTTTCTATTATCTAATTAAAATAAAATCAACTTATTTAATTCATTCAAATCTATAACTCAAATTATTAATTTTTTTTCATGTTTTAAAATATATTTACAACATCTAAATATTATTTTTTACACAAAAAAAAATCTATTCGTGTAGCACGACTCTACCCCTAGCTATACAATACAACTTCAATTGTAAGCTCTTCCTTGTTTAATACAAAAATATAAGTTTGTGCATGTTTGTTTTTGATGTTGTATTCACTTTTAGTTGTAGGTTAATCACGAAAAGCAAAAAACACAACATCAAAAACATAAATTCATTGCTTTCTCTTCTTTTTTTTTTTGTGGATGGTTGTATTTAGGGCTGAGAATTTCCAGTTCGGTTTGATTTTGAACCAAAATAAAAAACCAAACTAATTTTTAAATTTTTTTGAACCGAACCAATAACTGATTCAAACCGATTAATTATGGTTTGGTTTGGTTTTGTCTTTTTCTTTCCAAACCGGTTCAAACCAAAATTATTCCGACTTGTTCACACTCCCAAAAAAATCCCTAATCCCTACATTGAAGAAGGGAATTAAAACGCTTTTGCTACGCATAATAAAGCTTCTGTATGATCAAATTAAAACAAGAGCTTCCAAATCTAAAGCTTTTGCTACGCACAATAAAGAAAAGATATTATGTTTGTTGGTTGAAACTTGTATAAACAAATTGTCCAAATCTTCAGCCACACAAGCCAGCAAAAAATAAGAAACACAACAGGGAACAAAAAAAATAGGGAATTAAAAGAAAAAAAATTCCACAACTTAACACTTTCCCATACCATGCATGCACCTCATAAAAACCTATAACTTTAGGTTTACAAGGAGTAAAGGAAGGAGAGAAAAATCAAAGCAAAGAAAAGTGAAGGGAAGGGAGAGGGATATGCAGAGAAGGGGGGGCTAAAGGGAAGGAGGGATATGCAGAGAGATGGCTGATGTCTAAATGTGATTTTAGGGTTAGAAAATATTTTATTTATACTTTTTTTTTAAGTGGTGGTTGGTTGAACCGGTTCAGTTTGGTTCGGTTTAATTAGTTTTAGACTTTAGAAATCAAAACCAAATTGAATTGGAATTTTTTTATGATTTTTTTAATTGGTTAATTCGATTTTTTCAGTTATTGTTTTTTAGTTTTTTTGGTTTAATCAATTTATTGGTTTTTTTTGCTCATCCCTAGTTATATTATATAGTAAGGGCGTGTTTTAAAACACGGTTCAACCTGTATTTTAAAAAAAATAATTTTTTAATTAAAAATTAATTTTTTTATATGTTTTGGATGATTTTAATGTACTGATTTTAAAAATAATTTTTAAAAAATACACAAAATATTATTTTAATACATTTTATATGAAAAATATAAAATGTAGCTTACTCTTTTCTATTTTTTTACACAAATGACAGCAGCAGACCATTTCACAAGAACATAAACTCTAATTCAACTTCGCGCTACTTGGGTACGGGCTTACATCATTATGTTAGACCACAAGTTTCATAGTAGTTTTAAAGTTTGAGCAGTGCCCTTTTTAATGTTTTTCTTCCTAGGAAGAGGATAAAAATGAAGGGAGGAGGCGAATGCATGCGAATTTCAGGGGGGAGGTTTTGTTTCAAATTGTCTTCGTAACCCAGAGACATGGAGCCTGTTTTTTTGACTTGATGAAGGTTGGCAAATCAGAATAATAATAAAATATTAATTTTAAACTTAAAAAAAAAAAAGATGAAAAGAACAGGTGAATTGCAATGCGAAAAGATGTCGTAAAAAGGGATTGGAGAACATTTTATTATTATATTTTTAGGTTTTAAATCATAACAAGCAGCACTATTTTGGAAGGTCCTGCCATCCTGTCACAGTAGTTGTCGCATCAGCCACACTTTTGCCATTTGTCCCGGAGAGTTTTGCCTCTCCCTAGGTGAAAAGAGAAAGCTTAAAGAAGAGGAGGAGGAGGAGAAACACATGGAGGATGCCCATTGCAGGAAGCAGACAGCATCAGGGACATAGGGCCCCACGCTTTCGAAGAGAAAAGGTGCCCACCCCAAGACCAGACCACGGGTGTTCCCTTCTTTCTTTGTCTCATCAATTGGTCCATTCCAGTTCAGGAATTATTTGGTAAGAGCAATGATGTTGGGTGGTGTCTGGTTAAAGAACAAGCCTATCCCTGGGACCAAACCAAACAAGCCCTATCTCCTGCAACCTTTTTCTTTTAGAGAAAATAAAAAACACAACGGCAGAATACAAATAACACTTACCGTTTGTTGGGAGTACTAGTACCGAGCAATCCATCTAATGATAGTAAATTATAGCAAGTCTCGTCTATGGATACAAAAGCTTGCTACCCTTCATCCTTCTTCTTTTTGTATGCTTTCTTCCTGCTCATCATACACAATCCATCCAGGTAATCCGGGAGGGGATGGGCCAATCCTCTTCTTCATGCTCGTGCAATAATGGCCATGAGATTTACAGGCCTATTATCATTGGAAAAAACAGCGGTGATATTGATGGGGACGACGACTTGACCTTGAGTCTTCCTGACGAGTGCCTGGGCAGTGTGTTTGGGAAGCTGGGTTGCCTTGACAGGAACTCTTGCTCTCTGGTTTGCAAGAGATGGAAATGTGTGGATTCGAAGTCAAGAAACCGCCTTGTTTTGCTTGCTCGTTCCGAGTTGTCTCCATGCCTGCCTTCCTTGCTCTCTCGCTTCAACACTGTCTCCGTTCTGTCTCTCAAGTGCTCCCGCAAGCTCTTCAGCATAGACGATGCTGCCCTCTCTCGCATTCCCATTTTTCTCCCATTTCTCAAGAAGCTCAAACTCAAGGGCTGCATCCATATTTCTGACGATGGGCTGCATGCTTTCTCTCTCCA